GTGGGGAAGAAGTAGGCTGTCTATTGTTGGTCCCTTCCCAAAGGCCCAGCAATAAGGACCGTAAAATGCTAGAGACCTGACCCATGGACCAGAAGCAATTTGTCCTTTTAAAGAACCTCCCATCCAGATCCAGAGGAAAGGAGTAAAGGGCGGGGAAAAGAAAACTGGAGGAGGGGGAGGGTAATCCTCTTTCTCTCTCCCCCTCCACACCTTGCCAGTTCTCAATGGATACAGTCCTACCGTGGTTCAGCCGACCGGGTAGACTGCGCAGGAGACACATCCCTCCTCGCCACGATCTGGAACAAGGAGGGGGCTCCATTCCAATGCCGAAAGGGACGGCGACAGAGATTCTGCACCACCCTCGGCCGCCTCTCTTGCCTCTGCTCTCCCCAGGCTCCTCACTGAGCGTCTGTCCCCAAAACCGCTGCACGTCGCCACGGCTGGATGGGGGGGAGCAGTTTACTGCCGCCTTCCGAGCGGGGTCCGAGGCGTTCCTCTCGGCGCCACAACCGCCTGGGGGCCTCCCAGGACTGCCGGCGCCGGATCCATTGTAATTCAAGGCCTGCAGCTCTTGAATATGTTTTAGGGCTGGAAGGTAAGTACCTTCTTCTATTGCCCTTTAGGTCTCCGCTTCTTCTTCTGACCTTGCGGTGTCTTCTGGGATCTTTGTGCTCTTCAGAGCACAGCCAGCACATCCTGCTCATTAGGCAGGGCCGGTAAGACTGGGGATCAGAGGATAAGCCCCTCCCCTCTGGGATCAAAGTTTGCCAGCCCTGCCTATGGAAGGGGGAGGCACTTTCCAGGAGTAAGGAGTCAAGGACTGCTCCACTCCTGGACCACCGGAGAATGGATTACTAGAGCGGTTGCAGAGGTTGCTACCTTGAGAAAGGTACATAAAACAATTTTATTCCAGAATGCATTTGGCAAAGGGCAAACTTGTTTCAGCAGATTAAGCTGCGTTCTTTTTGTTTTTAAATTTTTTATATTGCAGTTCTCATTTCTGTACATTTTCAAAAATTCTGCTTTTCATCTGTGCATTTTAAAAATCTTGTTAATTGGGAGTGTTATTTGTCCTTGCATCCTGGTGCTGATTGTTAACCACCTTGAGTCGGAGGAAATAAGGCAAGATATAAATGTTTCAAATAAATAAAATAAAGTAGTTGTGTGAAGCACTTGGGATTTTGACACCCTTATATCACAAGCAATAACTGTGACTTTCCAGCATGTCAATATATGTTACTATATAAAAAGTTGCTTCTCTAAGCTCTTTAGTACATTCCATAGACTTTTGGAAAATATCTTACATTAATTAACCAATCTGGTAGACCAAAAGTACAGGCTCACTGGTGTGTATCAAAATTCTTAGGCTTCCTACTTATCATCTAATTACTTTTTTTTAGCATCACATTCTCACAAGCTATGAGGAGGGATAAAATATGGGCTGAAAATATTGAGAAAAACTAATTTCAACCCCTTACATCTCTGCAATGTTTAGAAAATTTCCTGAAGGTAAAAACATGCATTGGCTCCCACAATGGAGAGGGAGAAGATCCTCTGGCTCTGTCATATTCTTCTATTTTCTAAAGGCCAACAGCCAAGATGCAAACAGCCCAATGCATTTTAGTTTAGAAGATGTATGTTAATACTTAATGCACAGACACTAAGAGGATAGTATACATACACACTGTGTACCTTTTGAAATAAAAAGTACACCAGAAGCCTAAAGAAATCAACCTGAGATTTCTACTTATCGCCTTGAATGTGCTACAACTCACTTCAAAATTTGAATTCAGGGAAATCTAGTTCAGATGAGCAGAGTATAATTTTTACCACTTACAGAATCAAATAGTAAATTGCCACTTATTCTGCAAAAGCAGACTGCATCTATGAGAGCAGGGATTATTTGTGCAATACATGCTCATGTACATAGAATACAAATGAAGGAAAAATAACATTTCTAAGCCCAACCCATCACCTCTCAAGAAAAATATGCTGTGCACACTGTCTCCAGTGCAGAGTCCATGAAGTCCGCTTGTATTAGCACTACTTGGTTCAGTGATGTGCACAAGGTATCCTGTCCACTGCTATGAATTATACACATGGTCCCAATTGCTGGTTGCAAAGATCCAGCACCATGCAGTACTGGTTCGAAAATGCATTTACTAGCCCAAGAGATCATACACCCTCAGAAACTTATATATATCAATCTTGCTAAAAAGAATTGTAGTGGTACATGATAAACAACTGCTAGTGTGTTTGATTATGTACTAGGCTCCAAAAATTAACAAATTGTCCCCTACATTGTAAACAAACACATATGCAAGGTGCCCACGTTTTGATATGTATTTTTATTTCCCTGCAGTTTTCACTTATCAAGAACAAGTAACAGGGAAAGTTGTCTGAACTAGTGCATAAACAAACATTCTGAAACACCACTACACATATCTAATTTACAAGAACCGTATAAAAAAAGTCACTAAAACACTACACTACGAAGGTGTCCAACGCTTACAGTCAGACTTTTTCCAACCCGTTACTTGCCTTGTAGCCACAGGAAAACTCTCCAAAATTGAAAGACAATCTGCCACAACCCTCCCCCCTCCCCCACCACTTGGGATGGCTCGATATCTAGACATCCAATAATTATTGCAATGATATATAATGCAATACATACCTGGTAAAATATCATTTATGTGGTGTGTTACAGTTAAAAGCCAGTTAAATTATGCAGACATCAGATAAAATATAATCAGTTGAAAATTTTCTTCATATCTGCACAGTTTAATATGTGCTAGATGCATAATTTTTACTAGTCAGGTTTTCTGTGTAATTATTTTTTATAAACTGGTATTATAAATAGAAATATACATTCAAAATATATGGAAAAGTGGGTTACTACATTAAATTTGCATGTATCGATCCATCCCTTTCCCCTGCACAGTAATAGAAAATACTATTTTGCCTTGAACTTCATATTTGACAGTGAAATGCCACTAAAGTATTTACCAAAAAGTCCATCTAAAATTGTGAAACAAAATGAACCAAGTGAAAACTTTACATTTCCTTTAGAAAAAAATTACAAGAATTTTTCCTAGCTATGAATCTTTAACTTTTTTTAGACACAAAGTTGGATTTATTTTTACAAGATACAAAATGTAAACATGGCAAAATAAATAGTTAAAACAAGTGATGCAGGATCCCATTTCATGCTCATGATCCCATTAAAGAATTATTTTTAAATCCATTCAGTTGCAAATTCAAGTGCAAAAGCATGATGATGAATATCTACTATTCAAGTAACAGAAATAATATTGATGATACAAATAAACTATTTTACAAGGTAGTGATTTTCCCAATTTTACAAAATGTACATTATATCGACTTTATACGATATGATAGTCCATTTTAGGTCCATTTTAATTCCCTGTGATCCACAGAGTGCTGTTTTGCATTCAGTTGGAATATAAATGACTACACCATCAGCACAGGTCGAACCACTGCTTTGAGGTTATGTCACTTCCATTGCTACTGTTGTCTCTGCTATTCCATTTAAACCCAATCTTTCTGGTTCATGGTTCTCTCTGAAAAAGACAATACACAACAGTTACAACTGGAAAGGCCAGTCCTTCCATCTATATGGATTTCCATCTACAGGCCATATAGGTATTTGAAAGGAGCAGGCAACATCCACTGAAATATCAGAAGTCAGATCTATGGCTAAGTAAGATTAACAGTAGCTGAACAGTGGAGCTTCACTGCCCTTGATAATTTATTTCCCAGAATTAATTATGCAAACAAGTAAAAAAACACACCACAGAATAAATTATGCAAAGTAAGAAAATACACTCATATGCTCATTCTGAATGTTTCATATTGACTGCAGAATTTATCTTTTGGACACAGCTGAATGGGCACTGAATTTAAATCTTTCTCTGACCACAAAAGTAGACAACCCCAAGCCAAACCTTGCCCCACCGTTACTATAGACATACCTTGCTATGCTGCTGATGGCACTGCTAGGAGTCACCTTTGGCACTCTGTCCATACTGGCAGCAACCGTGGCAAGTTTTAAGGCTGTTGGCGATGGTGCTGAAGTCCTTGTATTGATATGTACATTGACTGGAGATACAACACTGACATTGTTGAGGTGCACTGCGTTAGTGAGACAAGAATTGTTCATAGGAAGCGTCTGAGGACTGTTTGTGCACAATGCTGGGATTAAGTGGTTTGTGGTGGTATGGCCGACTGTCCTTACAAGCTGTACAGTTGAGATCCCTGGGCTAGATGATAGAGCCATGTTGGTGGAGTACAAAGTTTTTGATGTTGCTGTTAGAAACAAACACACTTATTAAGATTTCAAGCATACTTCAAGGCTTTACACAATAAAAATATTACATAAAACTTAAACCACTGTGGAACTGATTTAGAGCTAAGTATATATTTATTTGATTTTATCCCTATTTGCATGTAACCTGAAGTAGGTTAGGATAAATGATGCTGGAGTGTATTCTACCAACTATTGTTGATGACAGAAGGAAACTTCTGCTGTCAAAAAGGGTTGGAAATTTCCACCCAATTCTCTCCTCCAACAGCACACCCATTTTATCCCCCTAACCTGTTCATAAAGGTCCACTGACCAAAGAGGAACCAAATTTCAGGGTGAGAAGGGCTCACTGGGCTGCAGAGGGAGAGAGAGGCAGAAAAATCCACCTCTGTGACATAAGAACATAAGAACATAAGAGACGCCAATGTTGGATCAGGCCAAAGGCCCATCCAGTCCAACACTTTGTGTCACACAGTGGCCAGAAATACCAGTGCCATCAGGAGGTCCAGCAGTGGGGCCAGGACATTAGAAGCCCTCCCACTGTTGACCCCCCCCAAGCACCAAGAAGACAGAGCATCACTTGCCCCAGAGCCCCTAGCTATACCTTGTGGCTAATAGCCACTGATGGACCTCTGCTCCATATGCTTATCTAATTCCCTTTTGAAGCCGTCCATGCTTGTAGCACCCACCTCGAGCAGTATTTTGTAAGATACAAACCAGTGACTGCCCAGAGTGACCCAATAAGCTTCATGGCAAAATAGGAATCTGAAACTAGGTGTATCTAGTCCTAGCCTAACACTATCTACTACAAAGTTGGAGTCCAGTGGCACTTTTGAGACCAAGTTTTTTTCGAGGTATGAGCTTTTGGGTACACACAAACTTCCCGAGACACAGTGAAATGGAACTTACCAGTCCATACATATAAGGCAGAGGTTGAACAGCAATTTAGCATACAACATAAAGAAGATGTTTTAACCTATGCAAACTGGAATAACAAGTTTATAAAGTCTTCATTTTTTGGATTTAATACTGTGGAAAAGCAGTGAGGCAAATAAAAATGTCAAAATCGGTGATAGGTGTGTAAATGTATCATTAATTGTGGAATGCTAAGATCAAACAAGATCCTGCCGTCATGCTCCATCCGTCTCTTCTCAAGCATGGAGAACTACAATTCAATTCAATGCATCATCAGCGACTCACAACCTCTACTGAATAATGACAGTTCTCTTTTACAAGTACTGGGGAGCAAACCTTTTCTTGTGCACAGACAGCCCTCCAATGTCAAACAATAATGCGACATCTAATTTGAACATGGACACTGGTACCAGAGCTTGCAATAAACCCAGACGCCAATTTTGCTGCCACATACACCCAGACAACACACTCACTGGACCTAACAACATCAACTACAACATCTCAGGCTGATTCACTTGCTCATCTTCTAACACTGTATATGCCATTAAGTGCCAACAATGTTCTCTACACAGGGCAAACAGGTCGAACCCTACGCCAAAGGATAAATGGACACAAAGCTGACATCAAGAATCACAAGACTGAGAAACCTGTAGAACATTTCAACCTTCCAGGACATTCAATGGGCAACCTCAAATTAGCTGTTTTATTACAAAGGAACTTCAGGAACAGACTGGAAAGGGAAACTGCTGAATTACAAGTCATTAACAACACACACACACACACACGGACGTAACAGGAATACTGGTTTCTTATCTCACTACAATATGCTAAACTTATTCAGTCTTTACATCTGTACCAAGAAGGGCTATACATCCCCTTTATTTTAGTGTATTGATCTGGGATAATAGTGATTGCAGGGCCAGCTCACCCACTAGGTGAACTAGGGTCTCGCCTACAGCGTGGTGGCCCTTAGGAGTGCCAAACAGGACCCGCCCCCACCAAAGCCCCCCAGCCCCCACCAAAAGCCCTGCATACCTGGCTGCCCTGACGAGCCCTTCCTGCTACTCAGCCCAGCCTGGTGCCGCCTTCCGGCGCTTCCTGGACAAACCACAGCAGCAGCAGCAGCGCCCCCTCCCTCCCTCCAAGGGTCGGCAGCCGGCGGGCTCCGGAGCAGAAGGGCAGCCTCTGCTGCTGGAAGGAGCGCCCCCTCCCTGCCGGCAGAGCAGGGCAGGGGAACCACCAGACGCTGTGGCCGCCCTTGGGTCCGGGCAGCAGGGCTTGGTCGCCGAAGGAGGGAGGGAGGGCTGGCCCATCTGTCTCCCTTTGGGGAGGGGCTGCTATTCACCCACCCGCCGGAGCCCCCCGCACGAGTGAGCCCCACCGCATCGTTGTCCTTGCCTTGGCCAGCGTGCCTGGCTGTGCGCTCCCCCTCCTCCTCTCGGCGCCGGGGCTAGGCGGGAGGGCACGTGGGGCGCTCGGATTGGCTGCCGGGTCAGACAGTGCTGAGGCTGCTGCTGCCACCACTGCTGCTGCCTGCCGAGGAGAGCTGCTTGTCCCCGCCGTTGAAGCTGGAGCCAGAGTGGCCGCTGGAGGCGGCCGGGTAGGGCGCCGGTTCACCGGGCAGCGAGCGCGGGTGAGTCTTGCAGCCTCTCTGCCCGCACCCCCTCCCTTACCTGGGCGCTTTGGGGGGCACCCAGCCAGGCTCTTGCGGCGCCTCTGCTCCATGGGCTGTTTCTGGGTGGTCTCCAGGCCCCACCGGGAAGTTGGCGTCACCTGGGGGCACCACAAGCTGGCCTCACCTAGGGTGCAGAAACACCTTGGGCCGGCCCTGAGTGACTGTAATATAATGCAATGAATAGTAGAATGTAATGTCATATAGAATGGTAGAATGGAATGTATTTCTCTGGTCTGGCAACAGAGGAGGCATAACACTGCACAACCAATCATCCCACTTCAAAGAAAAGGATGCTGTTAGTTACCTCCATGCCTGAGAGGAGACAGATGGAGTGTAACAACAGGTGTAACAAATGGTGATCATATAAATTTAGCTTATTATTCCTGTTTGCTCCTTGCATTTGTTAAAACATCTTCATTATGTTGTATACTAATTTGCTGCTCACGCTCTAAGCTATACGTATGGACTGGTAACTTCCATTTCAATGTATCTGAAGAAGTGTGCATGCACATGAAAGCTCATACCTTGAATAAAACTTTGTTGGTCTTAAAGATGCCGCCGGACTCAAATTTTGTTCTAATAACCACTACAGATTATTAGGGCTGTTTTTTCCTAAAATCCAGGGCAAAATCTAGAAAGTATATATCAGAGCTCTCATATGCCCAGTAGAGCTTTGGGAAGACGTGACAGAAAGTAGCAAAAGAACTGGTGAGCATGCAGGAGTTACCACACACTTCTCTAGTTTACTGGTGAAAAAGAGAGAGAGAGACTGCAAGGCAAGGGCAGACGTTAGTCCAGTAATTTGCTTCTCAGCTCATGCTGGCCTCATTCATTTCCTGTATTTCTCCCCCCCCCCCCCCCCCCCCAGGCCGTCACTTTCTGCTTGATC